AAAGAAGACTGTTAGTCAATGAAGGCTGTCACATCAAAAAGGTCAAAGCAAGTGCTGATCATTTAAATATTTATCAAACCTTCCCTTGAACTCACTTAAATTTACTACATGCACCAAGTCAGAAAGGTGCCCATTCCAAAGACCAACCATTCTGTTAGAAGATGACTCATATAATACCAAAATTTATATTTATGTCTCCTTGTCCTACTACATCTGAAGGTAACCTATTCCAAAGGCCAACCACCCTGTTAGAAAAGTAAAACTGTGTTATTTGTGTCCCCTAGTCCTACTATTTTTACTGTTAAGTATGAAAAAAAGATGATGCATCAATACTGTCAATTCCCTTTACAATCTTAAGCACCTCAATCAGATCCCCCCAACTCTTCTTTTATCAGGAGAAAACAATTTTAGATTTTAACCTCACCTCGTATGACAGTCCCTTCATCCCAGGCACCATTCTAGTAACCCTTCTTTGAACACTTTCCAACATTTCAAAAAATGTCTTTCTTTAGGTAAGAAGCCCAAGACTGAAAACAATATTCAAAATGTAGCCTAACCAGTGACTTATACAATGAAATTATAACATCTTTAGACTTGTATTCAATATTTCTGTAGATGCAACCTAAAATCCTATTTGCCATGCCACTAGCTTGGATGACTCTAGAAACTGATCAACTATTACACCAAGATCCCTTTCTTTTATGACACTGTTAAGGTTATTCCCATCCAAATTATAGTTATAATTAAAATTATGATAACCCACATGCATTATCTTGTAATTATTATAATTAAAACCCATTTTCCATTTATTTGTACAACTCACTAAATTATCTAAATCCTTTTGTAAATCAACAGCATCCTCTTCACAGCTAACAACACCCAACACCTCAATATCGACTGCAAATTTAAGTAATTTATTGATCATTCTTTCAACTATGTCATTGATGTAAATAAAAAAAAAGCAAAGGCCCTAAGACTGAGCCATAAGGTACCCCACTTGTGGCATTAAACCAGTTTTACTTAACTTCACTTGTAACAACCCTCTGCTTTCTCCCATCCAGCCACTCTTCTGTCCAATTTGCTAACTTATCCCCTACACCTATAAAGGTAAGTTTTTACAAGCCGTTTACGTGACACCTTGTCAAATGCTTTCTGAAAATCCAGATACACAAAATCTACACTCTTACCCTTATCTTCATAAGCAGTAACCTTTTCAAAGAGTGTCAAATAATTGGTAAGGCAAGATTTTCCCTAAGTGAAACGTTGGCTATCCAATAAAATTCTAAGCTTTGTTAAATGACTTTGGAAAGCATCTTTTAACATACTTTCCAAAACTTTTCCCACAACTCATGCAAGACTAATGGTTCTATAATTACTGGGACAATTTGAAAAGAGGAGGTACATTAGCTAACTTCCAATCCTCTAGTACCTGCCCACTATTCATGGACTGACAAGAACAGTAGCAAGTGGCTCACATATTCAATCTTTAATTTCATTCAAAACCCTTGGGGAAATATTATCTGGCCTTATCAGGAGCCTTATCATTCTTAAATTTCCCAATTTTTCTTAACCAGCTCAGAATTAATGCAGTCATCTTGTTCAATCTCATTTCCATTTATAAGCTGTTCAAGATGTGGAATACTGCTTAAATCTTCATTAGTAAAAATCGAGGAAAAGGCAAAATTTAATAACCCAGCCATCTCATAATCATCAGATACGAGCCTTGCTTTATCATCCCTCAAGGGTTCTACCCCCATCCTAATATTTTGTTTACCCTTAATGTATTTAAAGAAATCCTTAGTGTTAATTTTTAAATTTTCAGCCAACCTTTCCTCAAACATCCTTTCTGATATTCTTATTTTCTGTTTCACCAACTTTCTTATCTTCTAAATCTCTTGTCATACCACTCAATTTCAATTTCTTAAATTTGTAATGCTTTTCTTTAATTTTTATCCCTTATACTTTTTGTGAGCCAACCTGATTTGTTACTTGCAACTACCGTTTTCTTTCTATATGGAATATGTTTACTTTGAATATTTAAAAAAATATCTTTAAAAATTTCCACATCTGACCAATGTCTCCAAATAATTCAGCTGCCCAATTCACAACAGAAACTTCTTGTCGCATCCCTTCAAAGTTTGCTTTTTTCAAATTTGTAACCAAAATATCATTATTCCTTATCTCTATATGCAACAAAACATTGAACCTAATTCAGCAATGATCACTTGCATCTAGATGCTCCCCAATTTCCACCCTCTTGATCATTTCAATATTTGAAGTTAACAATAAATCTAAAATAGCATTGTTTCTAGTAGGTTCCTTGACTAATTGGTAAAGACAGCCAACTAGAACAGTTTCCAAAAATCTTTCTTCTTCATGGTTTGACTCTAGCATTTCCCAATCTATATGCCTAAAATTAAAATCACCCATAATTATGACTTCATTCTATAACAGCTGGAATCTTAATCTCACTGTACAGTTTCTCACTAATTTCATCAGAATCATTTGGTAGTCTGTAACAAATTCCCACTAAAACCTTTTCCCTATATATCCACTGATAGACACCCAAATGGATTCAATCTCTTTGCTATTATCTTTCATATCCTCAACTTCAACAGGATGAAGCTCACAGTTTACATATAAAGCCACTCCCCCATCTTTAATACTCTATCCCTATTAAATAGCCTGTAACCCTATATTTCAAAGCAATTTCTGTCATCAAAATAATCTACATTTAACCATGTTCCAGTTATTCCCATTATATCAAAATCCCCCATTCCTAACAGTGCTCCTACTATGCCAAGATTCTTTTCTTCAGTCATGCAATTGAGTTGGTTCTCATCTATTTTAAACATGTGATCCAAATTATGATAATCCAAATGCATTACCTTTCACTTACTATAATTAAAGCTAATTTTCCAATTATATGCCCAACTTATCAATTAATTTCAATAATTCTGTAACATCTAAGCACATTCAGTACAGATAGAAATACCCAAGAGTTTAATGCCATCAGCAAACTTTATTAATTATTTCCTGTCAGTATCATTAAAGCAAAGACTGAAGCACTGACTCCTAAGGTACTCCATTAGTAAGAAAGATCCAGCCTCTTGCTTTCTCCCATAAAATCACCCTACAATCCAATTAACTAGTTTCTTGCTAACACCTACAGATATGATTTTCTTATCTAATATTTTTATGTGAAAATCAAAGTACATCAGTCTAAACCCTTTCCCTCATCAAGATAACATGTAACATCTTTGAAAAAAAAATAGTAAGGCAAAGTTTCCTTTTGGTGAATCTATGTTAGCTTTCCTTTATGTTATTTCACATTGTAAAGCTTCTTTTATCAGACTTTTTAGAATTCTTCCCAATATAGAAGTATGACTAAATGCCCTATAATTTCTAGGACCACTATTATTACCCCTTTAAAAATAGGAGTAACATATAAGAAACTCCAATCCTCATGCACCTACCCACTCTGATCTGACTGATCAAAAATTAAAAAGAAAGGCTCAGGTATCTGATCTTTGACTTCCTTTAAAACCATCAGGAAAAACTAAGTCTGACCCTGTTGCTTTATCTACCTTGCAAGGGATTAATATCTTCATGATATTGGTCAATTCCAATATTTACTACAGAATACTCTAGGTAATGAACATATCTATCACTTTCTCTTGAAGAAACAGAAGAAAACATTTAAAAGTTTAGTCATCTCATAGTCTTCAACAATAACATTGTTATTAACATCCTTTAAGAGCCAAATCTCCATTCTAACATTTTGGTTATCTTTAACATACTTCAAAAAACTCTTTGCTGTTAATTTAGCATTGTCAGCCAATTGCTTCTTATAAGCTCTTTTGGATTTTCTCATTTCTTTTTAACCAAATCCCTATAGTTTTGTAAGTCTCCTATCCTATCTGTCAATTTAGACTTTTATGTTAATGACATTTAACCCTCATTTTAAATTCTTTTATATCTTTAGTAAGCCAGTTAGGTTTGATTTTCCCTGTTATCACTTTCCTCTTTTTAAGTGCATGCCTATCTTGAACTAACAGCAATGTACCTTTAAATATTTTCCAAGTATGTCCCACATCACCTTTTATTTCATTGTTCAAATTCACTGTTAACAAGATAAATAGAAAACTGGGAATTTAAAACCTGCAAATAGGGATCATAAAAAAAGGAAGGTAACAAAATTGAAGATACTGTAGACATTATTTACACAAACTACAAATCCCTATTTTGACTCTACCAAATGTAATTCTAGAAAACAGCATGGATCCAAAATAGGGGATTGTAGTTTGAGTAAATAATGTCTACAATATCTCTAGCCTTGTTTGCTTATTTTTTTATTATTATCCCTATTTGCAGGTTTCTACATTTATCTTCTTTGCTGGCTTTTTTACGCTCAACTATGAGCAAAGGATTACTTGATATGGTAGCTAACCTTATATATTGTAATGATAATAAATATAACTAGTAGCTAGCTGATACCATTCATGAAGATTTACTGTAGCTATTGACTATTTGATTACATTAGTTTGAGATGCAAAATGTTAAGCTGCAGCTTGAGACGGTCATGGACATTTGTTTGAGAATATAGTGAGCATTTATAGTTTCTGTGTAATGGACAATTATATGCCTAGACTAAGACACAATCCCCATTAAGTACATATAAAATTTTACCAGTAGAAAAGCAGTCTTTCCAGATAAAACAGTTAAGGTACTTTTTTGCCCAAACATTCTATTAGTGTTTTGTGCAATTCCTTGCAATCCCTATTATGAACCATTATCATGATTCGTGAAAAATTTGGAAACCTTAAAGCATGGAGAAAAATGCAAAATGAAGAATTTCATGTAAACATAATTTAATTCTGTTATATCAGACTGTAACTAAATTTCCATGGTCTGTTAGATGCTCTGTTGTTTACAAAAGAGACATTTTAACTTAATTAATCATAAAATTTTTTCAATGCAAACAAATAACTTAAATATACCCAAGTCTTTGTCAAAAGCTTCTACTTTAATCACAGATGTTCCAATTGGTGATTCTTCTGACACTCTTGCCTTGTAAGTATGTTGATGAAACTGTGGTGGATTATCATTTATATCTTCTACATGAATATTTATAATCTGGGATGTTGACCTTGCTGGCTTGCCATGGTCAAAAGCTGTGATGTTAAGTTCATAAATGTGACGATTTTCTCTGTCCAATGATTTGGCTACTGACAATAATCCTGAAATAAGAAAAGATTCCCCTTTTATGCCAAATAAAATTTTATAGGTAATAAAAGAAAAAGGTAATTGAAACTTAATATAAACAACTTCTTTTTTTTTTTTACTTTTAATTTTAGGTACTACAGTTGTGTGCTTTGACAATATGCACTAGTCTTAAGGCTAAGCCCCAAAACAGTAACTTTATGGCTTTAAAACATAATTAAATATAAAGGGTTAATCAGCCTAAGTATTTTATTGTGTCATTCATTTCAACCCAAGGGAGGACTGACAGAGTATTTCAATATTTCACAAATGTAATCCAGTCCCAACATCAACATGGGTTATTTAATCTTATATCGTCTAAGTTCTGTGTACACCGTATAATATAACTAAATGAGTAAGTATTAAAAGTCGTGAATTTAAAATACATTATAACTACTTTATACTATCTCGGCTAAAACCTTTCTAAAAACAGTGTATTTATGAACACAGAGCCTAGTAGGTTCAGGTTTTATATATCTCCTGAACTATCTATCTAATATAATTACCCAGTTTTTGCGTGTCCTGAAAATGCGCGCACACCTTACTATATAAATGCGCATTCGCGTGCACTTCATTTCAACGGATATAAACAAAAGGCGGATGTAAGTATACTTTGGTAGACATTTTGTACAACATAATAAACGCTTATCGAAGTTTGACAAAGGTCAAACGTTAGGTCGTAGAATAACATTATAAGATTATTTATTAATAGTATTAAGTACGGTAAAGTTCAGGCCTAAGACATGGGGACTCGTAGATTTCGGTGTCGTCGATTAGAATTCTTTTGTATTATTCTATAAGTCTTGTTTTTAAGGAAGTACTGTTGCAATGAAATAAAGATGCTAATCTGACGGCAAATGTTCTGCGAGTCTCTGCTAGTATATATATACTTTCTGATTACACACTACAGTATGTTTAGCCTCCTGAAAACTATACTCTGAACATAAATAACGTACATACAAAACACTATTTGACTAATAACTAATCATAGTGGTTCATATTTTAATGTAAATGATCAACGTTTAGTTAATTAACAATTAATGAATAACAAAAACGGCTAATCATTTACCTAGAAAGTCGATGTCACTATAAATTAGAACTTGGAAACCTTAAGGTATGGAGAAAAGTGCAAAATGAATAATTTCAAATTAACATAATATAATTCTTTTATGTTAGACTGCAACTAAATTTGTTTAGCTTGTTAGATTATTTGTTATATCTTCTACACAAATATTTATAATTTGGGATGTTAACCTTGCTAGCTTGCCGTAGTAAAAAGCCATGATATTCAGTTTATAAATACGACAATATTCCTTGTCCAATGATTTGGCTACTGACAACAAACCTAAAATAAGAAAAGATTCCTCTTTTATGTCAAATATGTCGCCAATCACCAAAAAGACGGAAGGAAAGCCCCAAAGTGACGTCGAGAGATTGTTCCAGTCATCAACAACCAATACTTTAATAACTGGGGCAAATTCAAATAACTTATTGACCATTCCGTTATCTATGTCCCTGAAGTAAATCAAAGAGAGTATAGGTCTCAACACTGAGCTTTCTTTTCTCCAGCCCTACTTGTCCACTCTTTATCTTAATGATGACGTTAAGATCAGAAGATTTAATAAGATTGGTGTAGAATATCTAGAAATTTCTAGCTAGATTACAAATGAGAGATAGTTGTGAAGTGTAGAGAGGATTTATCAAGAGAGTGTATAATCAGTCAATATGTTTACGAGATTATGTATATATATATATCCAGAGGAACGATAGTTCCCAAAGTCAAATTCTATTTTAAAAATTGTCAGAGAACTTCCAATGACTCTTAATGACATTGATGACAAAACCTTGTCGAAACGTTGTACATTTGCTGTTATATTAAAGTTTTTCTTCATTACCCATTCAAGCCGTCTCCAGCCATTATTAGTCTCAAAGTGGGTTCCTCGTCATCGAATTCCAATGACTCTATACAACACGAATAGTTTGATGTTTAGGGGATTGGCGCAATTAAACTACATCAGCTAGAAGCACTGTTCCACTGTTAATACGCAGTTTGAAACAATCTTAGTTTACCTGTGGCGGAAAAAATTCAATATCTATCACACAGTTAGGAAAGTGATGAATAGCAAGTCAATCCTCCCTGTTAACTTGTGGGCATGAAATATATAATTGGTTTATCCAAGATTTGATAGTGACATTAAACACAATGTTTATGTAACAATGTTTAAGGGATATGGATTCTTTTATTTTAATACTTTTCATATACACGCCAATTTTTTGTCTCTTTTCCAAATTTATCTGAAATATAGAAAGAAAACAAAATGTTTCCTGAAATAATAATGTATGGCAGCACTAATAATATGTTATATATTTTTAAGGTAAGATTTTAGCAATTATGTTTCTAGGAAATGTAATTTTCATATAAATTTTAATCTTAACTGAAAACAAAAACTGAAGTAATGCGCTGAAGAATATTGCCAGACCATTTTCAGAAAGTATAAGCTACCAATTCATTTTATTTGTCAGATAAATTATTTAGAAACATATGTAATAATATGTCAAACATAAATAATAAAATTAACTATACAACATAAACAAAACTATTAATATGAAACAAAAGAAGAAAAGAACGGTAACGTGAACAAATGAAAGAACCGAAGAAAAGCACGTAATACTGAAGATTAGAAGATATGGTGTTGTTGATATATTAGTACACACATTTCTTTACTTTCACTCAAAAGTTCTTATGATTGGTATACTATAAATGAACACTGTGTTTTAAAAATATATAGGAAACCATATGTTTACGCATATGGTAGGAATCTATATAAATATAATAGTACTGTCTGTTGTCAGTCCATGTAACTACTTCGCAGGGTGTAGATGGATCTTCACCAAAATTGGTATGTAGGTCTATGCGGGAG